CACAGGCGCCCGCCACAACACCCGGCTATTTTTTGGTTGCAGCCATCATTGTTGTTTGGCGGGTCCGGGCTGGGGATTCGAACCCGCCACCTTAGGTATACGTGGCTGGCGCCTTAGCCGGTTGAGCTATAGGCGCCGAGCCTACACCCTCTTTCTAACACAGATTGTACATATTGGTCTGTGGTTTGTCTTCTATTTATTACAGTACCTGTAATAATTCTTGACGCTGTCCAGACTTGGAATATTGTATGCATCTAATTAAAAAGAAAAAAGCAAACATTCATCTGCATTAAAAAGAAAATACAAACACATTAATGACTAAAGAACAGACAGTTTCATAAAACTTTTTGTTCCACTCATGGTAGAATAATAGTTTCATTTATCATCCAGTTAACAGTGGGAGGACCAGGGGACGGACCCAGGCTGGACATCCTCCCATTATTGTCATAGGTTCCAGTTTCTTCCCCAATTTAGAGGAGCTTAGCCTGAGGAAAAGGTAGAACAAGCCCCTGGCCCTTGGGATGGAGCAGGGTCCAAATGGCCCTGGCCCTACCACAAACTCTTGAACCATCACCCCAGGGCTGTATTCCTAGGGCCACTTAGCCCCCTTTTAGGGTCAGGGTGACTAAACTCTAGGTTGCTGGCTTCAGCTCCAAGCAGGCTGGATTCCCAAGTTCTGGACTCCAGGCTGGCTAAACTCTGGGATGCTGATTCTAGGCACTGAGTAGGATGGACTTAGGTACCAGGCTCCAGGCGTAGCCAGAGGACTTTAGGACTGCAGTTGTCTTACAATTAAGCTTCCCTGGCAGTGAAACCTTCTTAGGACAGGGGCCAGGGTTAGAGCTGGGAGTGGATTTGGAGAGATAGTCAACATCAGTAGAGTACAAGGCCCAGTGGAGGATGACCCAGAGCAGCAACAGCAAAGAACCTTGAAGGCCACTGGAGATGATGGTAATGAGAGTCCCCAAGAGATGGTCCATGGGAGAGATGCTATTCCCATCACAGGCAGCAGAGCTGCCTCAATAGCAAGACCCATGTCAAGGTGGGACTGGTATGGCTGGCATGCCGAGGTGATCCTGTCTGCACACTCAATGATAACTGAGCAGTGATGTCTACCTGCAGTCCTGAACTACACAGGACCCAGTACATACCTGCAGGAGGGTCTAGGGCAGTAAATACTCAGAGATAACTAGGAGCCTGCTGGTAGGGGGATGCAGCAGGAAGCCAGCAGGGGCCATTTGGCACCCCTGCCATCCCTTCTCAGCAAGTCCTTTGGCTCAGCAGACCCTGTAACCTCCACCAGCCTCCCTCTGCCACCTTTCTGTAACACTCTGAATGGTAGAGTGCCAGTCCTTTAGGCTGATGCTTTTAAAAACTTGAGAGCTTAACAGAAGTCAGATTATCTGAAAACTTATTTAAGGCATCTAGTATACTGGAGAATAATAGGTACTTTTTATTATATACGATTCAGAATAAATCAACTTGAAGTTAGAAGTTTGGACTTTTATTTTAGCTGCTGTTTTAAACATGTGATTCCAGAAGTCAGGAAGAAATGCCTGTTGGATGGATCAAATGAAGTGTTTAACTGCTAAGAAAGTCAACCAGATTGTTTATAAAACAAATCTGTTACCACTGTTCTTTTTGGAGAAGTGTTCATTCCCAGCACTCTGGGAGGCTGAGGTGGTGGACTGCCTAAGCTCTCAAGTTTGAGACCAGCCTGAGGTAGAGCGAGACCCTGTCTCTAAAAAAACTGGGCATTGTGGCAGGCACCTGTAGTCCCAGCTACTTGGGAGGCTGAGGCAAGAGAATTGCTTGAGCCCAGAAGTCTGAGGTTGCTGTGAACTATGACACCACAGCACGCTACCAAGGGCAAAAAAGTGAGACTGTCTCAAATAAATAAATAAATAATGTAAAAAGGGGAAGGGATGATCTATTTCTCTGCCCATGTCTAATGGAGATTTGTCATTTAAAATTCTTTTTTTTTTAGAGATAGAGTCTCACTTTGTTGCCCTCAGTAGACTCACAGCAACTTCCAGCTCTTGGGCTTAGGCTATTCTTTTGCCTTAGCCTCCTAAGTAGCTGGGACTATAGGTGCCACGACAATGCCCGGCTACTTTTTTGTTGCACAGGGCTGGGTTCGAACTCGCCACCCTCGATAGATAGGGCTGGCACCCTACTCACTAAGCCACAAGTGCCGCCCTGTCATTTAAAATTCTTTAAACTTATATATAGTAAAATTCATTCTTTCTGATGTAGAGTTCTATAAATTTTGACAAATACATAGTCATGTATCTACCACCACAATAGAAATATAGACAAGTTCCATCACCTCCAAAAATTCCATGTTGCCTCTTTGTAGTCAGTCGCATCTCATATCCCCAACCTGTGACAACTATTATCTGTTTTGCCTTTTCCTGACTATCACATAAACAGAATCATACAGTATGCAGAGCTTATGGAGTTATGAGTTTAGCTTCTTTCACTTAGCAAAATCTAGATTTTTAAAAACATCTGCCTGCTTGACTTTTGCTAGAAGCTTTTTTATTCCATTTAAAGAAAGTACCATACTTGGGTGGCGCTCATGGCTCAGTGGGCAGGGAGCCAGCCCCATAGAGAGGGTGCCGGATTCGAACCCAGCCCCAGCCAAACAGCAACAAAAAAATAGCCGGGCATTGTGGCGGGTGCCTGTAGTCCCAGCTACTCAGGAGGTTGAGGCAAGAGAATTGACTAAGCCCAGGAATTGGAGGTTGCTGTGAGCTGTGACGCTACAGCACTCTACCAAGGGCAATAAAGTGAAACTGTCTCTAAAAAAAATAATAATAATAAAGTACCATACCAACTGTCATTCCAAAGGCTAATAGTGACATCTTAAGTTTTTTAATAACATTATAGTTATATTTCAGAGCTATGGCCTTCAGTATATCTAAACATAGGTTACAATGTCCCATTTTATAATTTTATAATCTAAATTGGAAAATCCAAATTCCTGAAGGAAAAAAATCTAATCCTTATCATATTTGGGTCTTTACTCTTACCATGATTTCCTTTGATATCCAGCCACTTGGTTTTTTCCAAGACCCTGGTCTTCTTCAGAATACTCTGGTAAGTTTGCCATTCTACCTCATGCTGCCTGGATCCCCACTGCTCCTTTGTTTTGGCATCAGTCAGGTCTCCTGCAGGTTTACATGAGAACTGAATCACAATGCAAAATAAACTCCAGGGAGTTCAGATTTCTTAGATAAGCACATTGAAAGAACAAAGATACTGAAAAGTATTCAGTGTATAAGGATAACCGCTTATGAATCCACCTATGCCCAAAGCAAGCCATGTAAAACTAACAAGATTTTCTCAGCAAGGATTTTGTTTCTTCTAGGTTAGCAACTGCCTATTTAACCTCCTGTGGCATTGGAAATGAGTTGTGGGGGGGGAAAAATCTTAAAAGAGAACAGTACAAAATCCTTCAGTAGACTGTGATAAAATGAAAACCTTTAGAAGAAAGTCCAACACTCTGGGCAAGTGCCTAATATCTATTGTAACCATATTTTCCAAAACTCAAATCAAGATATATGATTTGACCAAGTATTATTTTTATAGCAAGAACCAATCTGGCAGGTGTAATATGGACAACAAAATACCAAAATTTATAGGAAACTAAATAAACAGAACACTTGAAATGGGGATTCACCCATTAAATGAGGACTACTACCCCCATCACATTGGCAGAGATGTTTCAGTAAGGGGGATGAGGCATGAATCTCCCAGTAAACAAGATAGATTTTCCTTTAATCGCTCTTCCCTACTACAGCTTTGGGAGCAAATTGTTAGGGGTCTGAAGAGTCTAGGAAACCTAAGTCACAAAAATATCAATTAATGAAGAAAAAGTTCCCTGAGTCACTGGAAGCCTCAAGAAACTGAAAGTACATGTAAGATTAACTAGTAAAGAAAATGGAAACGTTAGCAAAAGAAGAGAACTTTTGATTCATGGTTACAGGACTTTCCCTAATTCTCTCTCAAATCCAAAACTCCAACAACAAAAAACAGATACAAATACATCAGACAACACTCTGACGTGAGAATCACGAGTCTTGCTCCTAATGCTTTGACAAAACCTTACTCTGGCAAATCATTTTGCCTGGATATTGATTCAGTTATCCACAAGCAAAGAATATTACAATGTCCCATCTCCTCTACCTCACAGGGCTCACCCGGGGCTGTGGCTATCGCGTTCCCAACGTGCCCAAAGTTAAATCTGCAGCCCTGGCTAGCATCCTACCATCCAGACCACAGAACACCACCACAAGCACGACAATCCACCCTACCTGTTGCTAGGACGAGAGCTGGTTGAATGGTGTCAATAGTTTCAGAACAGAACTTCTCTAAGTCTACCGCTCTGCCTGGATCTCGAAACCTGCTCAGGTGAATGTCGGATATCTGCCGAAAGCAGGTATTGAACAGAGAGATCTGAGTCAGAAAAAGGCAGCATGGGCAGAGAAGGCCCAGCGGCTCTCTGAGGCGGAAGGAAAAGGCAAAGATCCAGTGCGTGAAGGCTCCCTGACCCCCCACCCGGGAAGAACCGAGCCCAGGCCAGCAATAGACCCTCGGATTACACCCTGACTGAAGACCCCGGAATGGAGCATGGGGCCTAAACAGGCGCCCGTCGCGCCCCCACAGAAACCGCCGGGGTCGCCCGGCACCGAGCCCGCTCGGCGCCCACCCCCCGCCGGGCTTCCCGCCGCATCACCTGCAGGCCCCAGAAGATGTTGCTGGCTCCGGAGCCTGGCGCGGGGTGCGGCCGCGGGTGGGGCGCGGGCTGCGACAGCGGGGAGGGCTGATCGGCCAGGCCGTAGTATTCCAAGAGCATCGCCGCCAGCGCAGCCGCCGCCAAGCCCGCGACCACCCTCAGGGCCAGCGCTGCAGCCATCCCGCCAGCCCGCCGGGGTGCGGCCCTGGCTGGTGCGGGGCCGCACTGCGCGGCGCTCCGAGAGCCGCTCTGCCCGCACTTCCGGACTCTATAGTCGCTGGGCCCAGTCGGACCCTGGGGCCTGCAGCTCTGCACTCATCGGCCGCCGCGGGGCACCTGCCGCCTTCTGGTCGCCCGCGTCTCCGGGCTCGGTTTGGAAATGTGATGCAGGCAAAGAAGAGAAACCGAGTCCCTCCACGCCAGTGACGGTTGTGGCGTGGTGGCCGGGAAGGAGCCCTGGACCTGTATCCGGGAGGCGGAGACTAGAGTCCTGGCTGAGAGGTCAGTCATTCCTGGGGCGGAAAACCGGGGCTCTAATGCCGTCCGTGCGCACTCTGCAGGGTTGTTGACAGAAGGAAGACCGGTAGAGATGAGGACGCCTTTTAAATTGCCTTACAAATATGTCGGGTGGCTTTCTGTGCCCCCTTCTGATTATAACGTGCATGGGTTTTCTGTAGATATGATTCCTGTTTTGTGTAAGTTGTTATTTACTTAAGCTGATTTCATAATATTGCAGCACAGTGGTATATCATTCATTTAATAAATATTAAATACTTTTATGGGCTAGACACAGAGGAGAATTAGATTCAGCCTGACCTTAATTTATCTAAACATTCCCTTATTGTTGAATTTTTGGATTATTATGTGTTGCTGTTCTGAATAAACATTTTTATACAAATGGTTCTTTTTAAAAAAAAAAAATCACTTCACGTTCTTTCCTTGGGATATGTTGCCATTATTGGATTTATGCTAATTTCAATTTATTAAATACTCTGAGTACCTTTAGATTTCAAGACATTGATCTAAACAGAAAATATATATATATAAAAAAAAGGTAAGTAGATAAAGATAATAAACCCAGAACCAGGGTTTATTATCTTAGAAGCTCATGTAGGAGAAATACACAAACAATTTTAATCTCTTGCCACAAGAGACAACCAAATATAAAAGGCTGGGGGAAAGTTAATACTGGATGAGCTCATCCCTTGGGAGAGAATCAAGGAAAGTTTAGTTATGCAGGTGATACAGGTGACTAGCAGAGATTGAGATTAGGGTGGGTAGAAGCACTTTCCACCAAGACCTAACAACATGAACCAAAGCATTAAGGTGAGAAAATGCAGCATGTTGGGGCATGCCTGTGGCTCAAGGAGTAGGGCTCTGGCCCCATATACCAGGGTAGCAGGTTCAAGCCTGGCTCTGGCCAAAAAAACAGAAAATGCAGCACATGTTTCTAGGACAGTGAGTATTTCAGTTTGGCTGGCCTTGGGCTATACCTGTGTTAGCATAGGTAGAAAAGTAGACATGAGCAAAGAAGGCAGTGGAGAATAAGGAAACATACTATAACAATAGCAAGATAAGGTAACCACAAATGTCATAGAATGTCAGGTAAACAGGAAAGTGAGACATGAGTAGAAGACATATAAAAACAAACAATGTAAACAGATGGGATGCTGAGTAAGAGAACATACTGTAACAAGATAAGGATAACCACAGTTGTCACAAGAAACAATAGAAACAACACAGGGCACATTGTAGGACATTACCGCTCTTACTCCAGTGGGCTTTGGGCATTAGGACATATCCAGGCCTAACCATATTACATGACAAATTCCCCCACCCAAGGGCAAGAAAGAGACAACATCCCCAAGGAAAAAGGAGGAATAAACAACATCACGAAAGAGGGGAAAGAATAGGAGAAAAGGGCCATGTCTGCTGGGTCATGTGCCTGCTCCTAACCCTTTTGGAGTGTACTATTGCTTTTCAACTGCTTACACAATTAGGGTGTCTGTCACTGGGAGGGAGACAAAAATGAAGGTGTTCCCATCAACTGCCTATAACTGCTAGAAGAACAGTGAAACACTGTGGAAGTCCTCTATCAATGACAGTGAAAACAGCAGAGTTCTGCTTTGGCAAAATGGATCTGGCAACTGCATGGGGAACTGGAGAGATGTGAGAGAGAATCCTGTTGGAAGGAGACTGCAATAATCCAGGTAGTAGGTAATCACAAAGATCTGAAAAAGGAAGATGGGAGATTGTGACATTAAGATTAAAATGGAAGAATCAAATGTAAAAAAATTTGAAAAGACAGAAACTACAGAACTTGACAGCTGATTAGGTATTCAAGGGAAGACAAAAAGAGAACTTAAAAAGATAGTGCCAAGGGGTTGTGCCCGTGGCTCAATGGATAAGGTGCTGGCCCCATGCCCCCAGGGTGGCAGGTTCTAACCCAGCCGGCCAGCTAAAACAGCAACAAAAAATAGCCAGACATTGTTGGGTTCCTATAGTCCCAGCTACTAGGGAGGCTGAGGCAAGAGAATTGCTTAAACCCAAGAGTTTAAGGTTGCTGTGAGCTGTGACGCCATGGCACTCTACCCAGGGTGACATAGTGATACTCTGTCTCGAAAAAAAAAAAAAAGATAGTGCCAAATTTGGAACTAGTGAGTGTTGTCCATAAATAAAATTTTTGGTTTGGTTCTGATTTTGCCTAATACTTTACCACTAGAAAACATCTGGATGGATATTTTTAAAAAATTGGAAGATATGCTTGAGATGATCTGACTTAACATATAGGCAATGTGGAATATGTAAAATGCATTTGGAAAGACCTTGGAGAAACCTCAAAGACAGAAGAAATCATTTTCCAGAAATGGGGTAAAAGTGGAACAGCCACTTTTACCCGATCTTTAACAGAGAAATGTGGTTTAAAGTAACAAAGATCAGCAGTCTGAATTTCAGACACTGACTGAACTCTAAGATATCAAGGGATGACTATGCTTAATGCCACTGTACACTTAAAATATGTACTTAAAATGTATATAATGTATACTTTAAAATGGTTAAGATGGTAAATTTCTAATGTATATTTTTCCATATTTTATTTATTTAGAGATAGAGTTTCACTCTGTTGCCCTGAGTAGAGCCATCATAGCTCACAGCAACTTCAAACTCTTGGGCTCAAGCGATCCCCTTGCCTCACCCGCTACCCCCAGTAGCTGGGACTACAGGTGCCTGCCATGATGCCCAGCTAGTTTTTCTATTTTTAGGAGAGACAGGGTCTCCCTCTAGTTCAGACTGGTCTGGAACTCTGAGTTCAAGGGATCCACCTGCCTTGCCGTCCCAGAGTACTGGGATTACAGGCATGAACCATCACACTCAGCAACCCACAATGTTTTACAAAGGTGCTTGATCACATGTCACTATTAGAATAATCACCATGCGTAAGTTATTTTATGGTTGAATAAAAGAGAAAATGACTATGTAGCCATTATGGACTGAGCCAATCAAGGCAAGTTTGGATAATATCAAATCCTTTCTTTATGTCTTATTTATTTATTTTGATAGAGTCTCAAGTTGTCACCTTGGGTAGAATGCTGTGGCATCATAGCTCACAGCAACTTCCAACTCTTGGGCTCAAGCCATCCTCTTGCCTCAGTTTTTCTATTTTCAGTAGAGACAGGGTCTCACTCTTGCTAAGGCTGCTCTCGAACCGGTGAGCTCAAGCAATCTACCTCAGCCTCCCAGAGAGCTAGGATTACAGGTGTGAGCCTCAGCGCCCAGGCTATGTCTACTTTAAATGTATAGAACAGATGAAGAAACAATCATAAAGGCTGTCAGCTTTCATATTCCTTTGATACAAATGCTACTCTGCTACTTCTGCAATGAGGCATAAATGCACAAGCCTTAAAAATAAATGCAGAAGACTAACTCCCTTATCAAAAATTAGCAAAAGCAGTAAACTCAGTAATAAAAACTAAAAATTCCACAAAAAACTCATGGTCTTAATTAATTCTTGGTCTTATTCTTGGTAATACTAAAAAATAAAAATTCTTTTAATATTTAACATTTAGGTTTGGCGCCTGTGGCTCAAATGGCTAAGGCGCCGGCCACATACACCTAAGGTGGCGGGTACAAATCCAGCCTGGGCCCACCAAAACAACAATGACAGCTGCAACCAAAAAAAAATAGCCGGGTGTTGTGGCGGGCGCCTGTGGTCCCAGCTACTAGGGAGGCTGAGGCAGGAGACTCGCTTGAGCCCAGGAGTTGGAGGTTGCTGTGAGCTGTGATGCCATGGCACTCTACCCAGGGGGACAGCTTGAGGCTCTGTTTCAAAAAAATAAATAAATAAATAAAATTTAGCCTTTATTCTTTTAAGCTGTTGGTAGCTGTACTGGTATTTATTTTACTGTTATGCTTTACATGTTAGTGTAATCTTTAGTACTTAAATATTTGGTACAAAATTCTAGAAAAAAATCAAAAATACAGTAAGTGTATATTGTATTCACTAAAATATGAAGAATATTAAAACATGCATTCTCAGCAGCACCTGTAGTTCAGTCAGCATGGGTGACATATACCTAGGGTGGTGGGTTCAAACCCAGTCTGGGTCTGCTGGGCAACTATGACAACTGCAACCAAAAAATGGCCAGGTATTGTGGCAGGCGCCTGTAGTTCCAGCTACTTGGGAGGCTGACTCAAGAGAATCACGTGGGCCCTGGAATTGGAGGTTGCTGTGAGCAGGGATGTCATCGCACTCTACCCAGGGGGACAGCTTGAGACTGTCTTAAAAAAAAAAAAGCAATCTCTTTGACCTGTTATTTTTACTCATAGTAACTTCTTTTAAGGACGAATATGGATGTGTTCAGAGATTTCTCAATGAGTTTATTAAAGCAAAGTTTATAATAGAAGAAAAAATAGGAACAAACTACAGTAAATGTTTCACAAGAGGCAGGTTTTAAATATAAAATGGTATACATATGGAAGGGTGTTACACCTGTGTGGTAAGATTCAAGTTCATGCCATTTAAAAATCATACTCAAGGGCTTCTCAATATCTACATTTCCAACAGATCAAAGATTAAGCAAAATGAAAAACTAATGTTAAAAAGGATATACTAGGCACTATTGAGATAATCTAGGAACTTTAGTCAATGCAGGAGGCAAGTAAAAAGCTAGGGATTATCATCCATGCAAATTAAAGAATTACAGGAAGGTGAGGTATAATTTCACTAGACTTCTAAAAACAGCTGACAACTTTTACAATAAAAACCAATACTAAATGCTGAAATATTTTATACATGTGGAGGGTACCAAAAAATGTATACACATTTTAGGAAAGGAAAAAACTATTAAAATTGTAATGCTTAAGTCACAATTTACTTCTGCCATTATAAGAGTTACAAGATACAAGATAACAAACGTTATAGGTATACATTAGAATTTTAATCCTTGTTTCCCTTCTGATAACGTGTATGCATTTTTTTGCACTCTATTAGTTTTACTTTTATATTTTTCAAGTCTTATCTGCACATCATTTGTTCTTTGTTTTTTCAACTCTATGAAGTAGTCTTTAAACACAAACACGCTACACATATAAATAATCTAGGAGAAATTTATCTTATCCAAGAATTTGGGACCTGGCCATGATTCTCTTTGGGAAAGTTCAAGACCTGACAGTCTATAATGCAGAGCCAGGAAATGTTCCTCGTTAAACAGAGGAAGATACTGGGCTCTGGACAGCATGACCTGCTTACTAAGACCTCGGGAAGTTCCTGCTGGAAAAACTGCACGCAACCGCACCAGCCAATTT